TCTTCGGGTTCAGGCGGTTCCGGAGCTTCGTAGGAAGCCTATGGTGGAGACGTTCCTCTGAGGCAACGGGCTCGACAAACCCGGCTAGGAGAAAACGAGCGTTGCGACATATGCGTAGAAAGAATTCTGGGGACTTTCTAAACAGATCGTGGAACACTGCGCGGACGCCGCCGGACACAACGACTGCGGTATTACGGGCATCTTAGGTACTACGTAGTACAGTGATCCCGCAACGTTTGCACCATGAAAAATAACTTGTTATACAGTTCTTGGGGCCTTTTGACAAGGCAGCAGTGGAATTGTGTTTCCGTGAAGCGTATATAGTTTTAGACATCCTTTTAGTTTTAGACACCCCAAAAGGTTATTGAATATAGAGTATAAAGGTGTTCCTCTTTTCCTCCCCGCACATAATGCCTCTTATAATACATATTTCCTCTACCATCTAATGAAATATTAATCTATATAGGGAATTTTTGCAGGTTTTTGCTGGATTTTTTGCCGCCATCGGCGCCTTTTGACTCGTCAATCGACAACCATGGCTGACGTCCACGATGAGTTGCCAACACGTCGTAAAGGACGTCCACCCTTAAAATACGGCAAGAAAGCTCATGTGCGGCTCTTTAAGAACAAGACAGTCGACTATCACCACCGTATGAGTGCCATTCAGCGCGTCGCCGAGGTTGGGATGTCGGCCTTCCTGGATGGCTACTGCCCTAACGCAACTCATACTCAACGCGACACAACTAGAAAGAAAGTGTATGGATGGATTAAACAGAAGGATCGCATCCAGAAGTTGGCCACAGACACAAGGACGTCGCGACTCAAATGCGCTCGATCCCGCGGGACGGGAACGACACTACCACCCGCCGAAGAGGAGCAACTGGCCCGCTGGGTACTCGGTATGAGGAAGGACGGCATCCCTGTAACTTATCACATGCTTCGTGTCATGGCGCAGGAGACGGCGATCGACTTGGGACTAACCGACGACGAGTTCAAGGCTGGTTGGCACTGGGTTCATAGCTTCAAGCGCCGCCATGGTCTGTCGCTCCGCGCAAAGTCGAGGGCCGGTCAAGATTCAAACCAAGACGGAATGTCGACCCTTGCTGATTTCTGCGAGCGTGTGCTCATATGTGCCATGGCTAACGACGTCGAGGTGATCTACAACGCTGATCAGACTGCCGTCAACTACGAGTACCTGCCTTCAAAGACCCTCAACCCGACGAAGGACAAAACCGTGTGGGTGAAGTG